AACCTTTTCCCCATTCGTTGCTGTGGAAACACACCACAGAGTCAGTGTTTTTTTAAAAAAGACTTTGTCCCGTAGCTGCAGCGATGGAAGGTACAAATGAGTCCCTGTCCAGGGATCGGCCTGCCAGTGCTTAGTACCCTGAGCCCATAGAAATGACAGGCTTTCTGGAACGTGTAAACTTAACAGGATTTCCCACATTTTCTCTGTGGCCAGCAGGGGAGCACACGCCCCACAACGCTCAGTAAGCAAAAGTGAGAAATTCTGATAATATACTGAAAAAGCCATCGTGTTTGTCCCCTAAAATCTTTAAGTTTATCGGAGTTATAAATGGGACGAGGGAATAAAATACTGGAGATCTTCAAAAGGGTGATATTATTTTTCTGAGACAGTAAACCACTGAGGATGTGTTTGTTCGTTGAGATTACTTAACTATCAAAATACATGATGTAAAGTTCAACCAATTACGGGGGGTCTGATTTCCTCATCGCTTTCACAGCTCATTGTTCGGATTCCGGCTCAAAGGCCGGTTGCCATTTCCTCCAGAAAGACTTCTGTAAGGATTGTTCTATATTTTTTGTCCACTTTCACCTTAGCAGGAAATTTTTCATTGTAATTCAACTTTAAGTTTGATACACATTAATCCTAATCTTTCAATGGAACTTTTTCTTTCTTTTTTTTTTTTAACGTTTATTTATTTTTGAGACAGAGAGAGACAGAGCATGAATGGGGGAGGGGCAGAGAGAGAGGGAGACACAGAACTGGAAGCAGGCTCCAGGCTTTGAGCCATCAGCCCAGAGCCTGACGCGGGGCTCGAACTCACGGTCTGTGAGATCGTGACCTGAGCTGAAGTCGGACGCTCAACCGACTGAGCCACCCAGGCGCCCCTCAATGGAACTTTTTCTCCTGAACCAGAACATAAACTCCGTGAGTACCGGTACTCTTGTTAACTCGTATGTACCGAATGCTTACCACAGGGCCTGGCACATAATAGGAGGTCTATTAAGACCTGTTGAATGAATGAACAAACATGAAGATATGCTTAGGAAAATCATTTTACATAATGATTTTATATAATCACCATCCATAGTGTCATTCTAGAGTTTACTTTATGATTTCATAAGAAAATTATAAAAGGAGATGACCTTTTTTTCTTTTCTGCAACCATGACTTTTATATCCCCCCCCCCAAAAGGAATTGTAATACTCATCAAATGCATAACTCCTTGCCCCTCTCATTCTTGAATCACTTCTCCCGGGGAACTTCAGCTGCCATGTTGTTAAGCAAATCAAGCCCCCTTGTGGAGAAGTTCATGCAATGGGGAGCTGAGACCTCCTGCCATTATCCATTTTAGGGACTGAAACTTGACATGGCCAACGGCCATGTGGGTGAGCCTACCCAAAAGCGGCCCCTCTGGCCCTCTTCAAGTCCTTAGAAGACTATCAGCCCTGGCCCACCGTAATGGCATTGTAAAAACGCTGTCTTGAGCAAGTTTTGGGGTCCTAGCTAGAAGCCAATCTGTCCCTTTCTCAAGCAGCCCATTATGTCTACATCTCAACTACCCCCCTATCTAAATCTCACTCACTGCAACACTATACACCTACCTTAAATACATCAGAACCAGGTACCAGAAAACCAGGGACAGCCCGGATGCCCACAACCCAGTGAAATAACTTAAACTGGCCAATCTTGCTAAACCTGCCTCACTCATCCCTTCCCTCGAAAAGCACAGTGAAGGCCCTCACCCTCAGTTCTTTCTCCTTCAGCCCTGGGACTCACCTTCCCTGAGTGGCCCTGCACGGCACACTGTGTTCTCCCCAGGAAGCTGGGAGTAACAAAAATCCAAAACCCTTTCCAGTTCCTCTCTCTGGATCTGAGCTGGGCCCCACCATGCCTCATGCAACCTAATGCAGTTAAAACACAGCCATGGTGACTGCACCTCTTGAGAAAGCCTGGCTGGAACCATCTCGTCAAACTGTTCCCAGTTATTAATCCTCAGAAATTGTCTAAGAAAAGAATTGTTTGTTTTCAGCTGCCAAGTTTTGGGATAATTTGTTAGGCAGCAGTGGATAACAATATCCAAACTAACGTTTTTCAAAATTGGCCTGCTATTTGGGCTTTGCCCCCGTCTCTGTTCAACCGGATTCCATTTCCCTAAAGGCAAATTTTCCCCAATCTCTCTCTATCTCATATGTGTTCTCCAGAAAGAGAAATATATCTGGCAAGAGAATTATGCTTCTAATTCAGATAAAATTTTATAAATGATATCTTTGGAAATGATTCATCCATACATGTGCTTCGCAGATTTTTATATAATCAAAACATTTTGCCATAATTTGATTTCACCATAGTGCAATTCAATAAGAGTTAACTGAGTGAAAAGTGCCTGCCTAAAATTCTGGCTGGAACAGATGGGAATACAAAAAAAAAAAAAAAAAAAAAAAAAAAAAAAAAAAAAAAAGCAGAAGAAGAAGAAGGAGAAAGAAAAAATACACAATTTCTGGTCTCAAGGACATTATAGTTTAATCAGCTAGTTCTCAAACTTTATTGGGAAACTTGATAAAAATGCAAATTCTCACACCCCACCAAGATTCTGATCCAAAAAGAATGTCTTAATGGACACAGAAATCTAGGTTTTTAAAAGGTTTCTGAAAGAATGTTGGTACAAATGTAGACCACATAATTCCTTGAAATACCGCTTTATTTTAAGAAGCATATTAGGATAGTTTTTTTTTTCTTTTTTGGGGAGTTAATTTAATATCAGCAGGAACGAATCTAAAATATGTACCTTAGGATTTAAAGAGAAATCACATCTTCAACGAAGCCCTGACAAGGCTGCAGACGTGCACGAAGAAGCCCGAATTCCGATCTGGTTGTGCTTGCTCTTTCCCCTCACAGGCCCTCGGCTGCTTTACCTGTAAAATGAGGGGAGTGGATTAGCTGTGTCCTTAAAATCTCCTCAGTCTTTAAAATTAGATAAATCCAGACAGCAAGTTGCCAGAAACCGGGTACTATTTTTGTCCCATTATCCTAAGATACGATGATTTTCTATCCTGAATTTTTCTTCCTCAGTTTTTATTTTATTTTATTTTTTTAACGTTTGTTTATTTTTGAGACAGAGACAGGGCATGAACGGGGGAGGGTCAGAGAGAGAGGGGGACACAGAATCCGAAGCAGGCTCCAGGCTCTGAGCTGTCAGCACAGAGCCCGACGCGGGGCTCGAACTCACGGACCGCGAGATCATGACCTGAGCCGAATTCGGACGCTCAGTTTTTTTAATACAGGCATTACCTCAGAGATACGGAGGGTTTGAGTCCAGACCACCTCGAGAAAGCAAGTATCTTGGTAAAGGGAATCAAGTGAATTTGTTTGGTGTCTCAGTGCGTATAAGCTTCCAGTATACTGTAGTCTACCCAGTGTGCAAAGCATGATGTCTAAAAAATTGCGTGCATGCCTTAAGTAAAAAATACTGCATTACTACCAAATGCTAAACATCACCTGTGCTTTCAGAGAGTCGTAATCTTTTCACTGATGGAGGGTCCAGCCCCTCACGGCTGCTGACTCAGGGTAGCGGTGGCGGAAGTTGGGGATGGCCGTGGCAATTTCTTAAAATAAGACGACAGCGGCTTTTGCCCCGTTGACTGGCCCTCCCTTTTATGAAAATGTCTCTGCCACCTGCAATGCTGAGAGCATTTTACCCCCAGTAGGACTTAGACAATTGGGGTCGACCCTCTCGAACCCTGGCTCTGCTTCATCAACTAAGTTTTTAGAATATTCTAAATCCTCTGTTGCCATTTCAACAAACTTCACACAGTCGGAGCCGATTCCATCCCAAGAAACGACTTTTGTTGTTCATCCATGAGAAGCAACGTCCTCATCTGTCCAAGCTTTGTCCTGAGCTCACAGCAATTCGGTCCCATCGGCAGGCTCCTCCCTGGATTCTCTTGCTGTTTCCAACACATCCGAAGTTACTTTCTCCGCCAAGTCGTGACCCTTAAGTTTGCACCAAATGCAGTATTCGTGAAGCACAATAAAGCCAAGAGTAACGAAATTAGGTATGCTTGTCTACAAAAGCGAGTTAACCGTCCATCATTCACAGGAGCATTAGAAGCATTAAATGAGACGCATTACGTACGATTGCTTTTTAGCCGCAAAGAGCTTTCCCTGCCTCATCCCCAGAGCTCTGTACTAAGGGCTGCCTGTTTCTTCTCAGTTAAGCTTCCCAACTGTCCTTTGCAGTTAGAAAATTTCCCACCCCATTTTTAAAGGTGAGGGCATATAGTCAGAGAAGTTACATAACCAGCCCAATGTCTCACAACAATCTACAACAGAGACTTGGAGCGTGGATTCAAACCCAGGACCACATCACTCAAAAGTCGAGGCATGTAAACAAGCTAGCTAACGTGCAACTAGTTGGTTTGGGAGGAAGGCTGTGACCGGGAGAGAATCACTCTTTACCCTAGTTTTTCGGTGATAATAATCACTTGCTGTACGGACGAAGAACACCGGATTTCTGATTTCCTCTCAGCCTCTGAATCTTCATTTCTAGCACAGGGAATTTTCGAGTGCCTTTGGTGCTTCTTGTCATCAAGGACTTAGAGGAAAACACTGTTCTATCCATCTCTCTCTCTCTCTCTCTGTCTTTTTTTTTTTTTTTAATGTTTAAAATGATTACTAATAAGAGACATGATTTTTATCTTGCTTTTTTGGGTTTGACCGAATCAACTGATAAAAAGGTCTGGCCCAGGGTGAGGCCTGGGTCCACGGCCTGGCCCTGTTCTTTCCTCCTGAGCCTTCTCAGTGGCCTGTGTTGCGGCCAGCTGCCGGAAAACGGCTCGGTCTCATCCCCAAAGGTCCCCAGATAAATAGCTGAGCTGCCACATTCGTGGTGTTTGAATTCCCTCATTGTCTATAGGAAATCTCTGGCTAGCTGTGCTGGAAAGTCTGGAAACAGGTCAGCAAGAGAGGATCCAGAATTCCTTTCTGCAGTAGTCAGCCAGCTTGCCTGGTGCCTGGCTGGACTCCAGGTATTCTAACAGAAGGGGTGCAGCTCTGAAAAAAATGCAAACATCCTAGAGATTTCTCACAACGTTTAGATTTTTATCCATTTTCTCAGTTCCCGAGTCACTCCTAATCCTTCCATCCTCATCAGTGCAAATGTGCTTTTGAAAATAAGAGGCAGTGAGATATGGAGTATCCTTCAAAGATATTTAAACCTTATGAAGTAATGCTCCAAATACAGAAAACAACTGAAGCAATGATTCGTAAGTACGATGCCTTTTCATTATGCCTTTTCTGTCCATAAGGTTAGATAAGCTCCATTTGGCTGGTAATTTTTTTTTTTTTCCCCATAGAGGTTTCCCAACGAGTTCCTGGCATGGTACATTTTGGAGCACTTAGTGAATGTTTATTGAATAGGTGAAGAAAGAAGTATCACGCATTTCTGCAGATATAAGTATTCTTATTTGAATACATCACCAATCTTTGTTCCAGACCGAGAGAGGTTGTAATAGTAGATAATTTAATAGAAAGAATGGCACTTTTCTCTCCAGTATTAAAATGAAAGTGGAATTCCTGGGATAGAATTGGTCTAACAAAGATAAAAATCAGGAAATTAATTTTCAGTGCGTCCAGCTTCTAAATCAAAAGTCAAAACCTTCCATTTTATGATCTGAATTCATCTTGCAGTCCTATTTTATTTGGCCTTCGCGGTGTTTTCAAAAAAAAAAAAAAAAATGAAGCCATTAAAAAATCAGTTTATTTCATATCATAACCCAGATTTCTGGCTTTCTTTGCAAAAATCAGACTATCTGGCTATATGGGGCCCCAAATTCCACACGACAGCAGTCAACTTGCTCTCTGCACCCACGTACATTACCCAGCGAGACCCTGTGGTACCACCGTCAGTGTTTAGGTTGTTTAGAGGGTGATACAATACACGCTCAAGAAGTGCCATTGTTCTCGTTAACATCAGCACGTCAACATCATCTTCCCTGTTATGATAAGCACGTATCCACTCTGCATAGGCGTATGGCTGGGGACTTCTGCCGTAAATACTATAATACCATTCTCCCTCCTCGCTCCTTTCTCTGTAGTGTTGTCCAATAGAACTTTCTGCAGCAAAGGGAGTGCTCTAATCTGTGCTATTCAGCATTACAGCCACTAATCACAAGTGTTGCTGAATTAAGAAACCAAATTTTTCGTTTTATTTAGCCTTGATGAATTTTAATGTAAGTAACACAGGGGGTGACTGGCTACCGAGGACAACGCGGCTCTCTAACTTCACTCCCATTTGCCTTTTATCCTCAGTCAAACTGCTCTCTGGCTCTGAAACCAATTTATGCTCTATTATGAGTGGCTGGCAATATTTTAAAAAGGTTATCTCTCTAAGGGTAATTTGCCTGTTTTGCATGATCAAAATGACATTTAAAAATATGAATCCCTTGCATCCCCCTTCCCCACCATAATTCGAAGGTGGGATTTCACATTGTGTATTTTTAGGGAGCATTCCTAGGTGATTTTTATGACCAGACAGATTTAATAAATCCTACCAAAGAAATAATTTTCAAAGAGTGCTAAGAAAGAGGAGTCAGCCTGCATTATGCAGCGTGTGGACATTTTTGAAGCGCGTATATGCCAACCTCCTACCCTACCTTCTGCTATTCCCACCCCCACCTCAACTTCTAGCACCTCTCTTACCCACCATTAAACCCACTGCATTCCTTATGCCTCTCGGGGAAAGCATGGCCCTCTGACATACCGTTCTACTGTAGCTACTTCTCAGATATGAGCCAACTCTGTTCTCTGATGATGATTGATACCCCAAACCCACAATAACCATAACCATGCCGTGCAATCAGCTTTTCTTCCCAGAGACGTTGAACTCGGATTTCAAAACGGATGATTTCTTTCTGCCTGATGGCGGAATCAAGGCAATATAAACTGGTGCTAAGGGGTGGCCGCATTTAGCCCAGTCCCCATGACAGACCTGGTAAGGCTGATCTTCAAAAGTTGAAGAATGAAGCAAAGGCTCAAAAGCGAAGAGAGGACTCTGCTGGCCTTGGATGGGTGGAGCTTGGAGATGTCCTTTCTAGTGGCTTTCCAGTGAGAACGCCTACTGGGGAATATGGGGGCTGGATCTGACAAGGTGACAGCTAGGAGGGAAGGTTACTGGATGACATTACAGAAGAACAGACTGTCTTCTGCCCACAGCTAAACTCTCACTCTTTTCTGGGGAATTTGTAAAGAATTACAAGTTGGCCACCCAAGGACCCAGGACAAACTTCTCTGCTACCTTTCATTTAATCAGTGTGCCCCCAAAAGGGGCAACATGAGTTTCACTCTTCCCAGGCTGTCTTAATTTTTTTCTCTCTTCTCCATCTTCTGCATTTTATTTACCTCACACTCTCGGGCGTGAACAAACAATTAGCAAGTTAAAAAATCAAGCTAGGTGCAGAACAGCTCCCCACATGTCTCCGGGCTGTTACACAACACTAACTCCTACCCCTAGTTAGGCCCTGTGCTTCTGTCAGCCTGGGGATGTGGCCATCACAACCCAACTAAAGCCTCAGAGACATGGCCCCCAGGTGTGTGGAGAGGAAAAGAAGGAGAAGCCTCGTCTCAGAACAGTGACTCAGATTTGGGGTGCGCCTCGGGAGCATTTGAAAAGTGCAGATCACAGGGTCACACACCCAGAGATTTTTAACCCATAGACTGGGACAGATTTGAAAGATTGGCATTTTATTTAAAAAAAAAAATTTTTTTAATGTTTATTTATTTTTGAGACAGAGACAGAGCATGAACGGGGGAGGGTCAGAGAGAGAGGGAGGCACAGAATCTGAAGGAGGCTCCAGGCTCTGAGCTGTTAGCACAGAGCCCGATGTGGGGCTCGAACTCACGGACCGTGAGATCATGACCTGAGCCGAAGTCGGACGCTTAACCGACTGAGCCACCCAGGCGCCCCGAAAGATTGGCATTTTAAACAACACCCTGATCTTTCTGATCTTGGGAGGTTCAAGAATTTTAATCTGCAGTCACTATCTTATAGGACAAAGTTCAGATAATAATAAAGGTGCCTGGGGTATGCACGTACATGTGTAGGTATGCCTGTGTGTGAAGGGATGAGAGTTTTCATCAGAAGAGCATTTCTCCTAACCATAAAGTCACATCTTCCCCTTATTGTTTAGTAGCAACTGACTAATTGCCAGTTGTGCCTGGAAGTCCGCCCAGGCTTTTATTCGAGGTGACGTAGCTGGGCTTAGGGTGTTTTTGGTCAAACAAAGAGAAACAGACGCGTATCTGGTAAACAGAAAGGCATGTGTGAACCAACTGGGTAACAGCTGGCTTTGGAACCACTGCCAAAAGGTGATAGAAAGTCCAGGGGATACTTCAAGACTCGATTTGAACAACCACCAAAAACACGCACATACTTTTTAGAGTCAGTAGGCCAGGACAAGCTTTCTCAAATTCAGCAGTATCGACATTCTGGGCTGGCTAACCCTTCGGGGTTAGGTGCAGGGGTGTTCTGTGCATTGTAGGATGTCTAACAGCATCCCTGGCCTCTACGCTCTGGATGCCAGCAGTCCTGCATCCCCCAGCTGGGACATCAAAAATTTCTCCAGACGTTGCCAAATTAGCTCCAGTGAGAACCACCAGTATGAGACCGGGGTGCGGAGGGGTGGGGGGATGGGGGAGGTGAAGAGGGTGGGGGTCCGGGGGCAGGGGACACAGGGAGAGAGGAATAGCCCCATTTTGGGCTCCCCTTGTAAGTTTCACCTTGCTTAAAATTTTTCTTTTCACAGTGAAAGAGAAAGTGCATGTTTGCAGATGCAGTAGCAAGGAAGCTTCCCATTTCTGAATACGGGGTTTTAGTGGACTTATGGGGAAACTTCTTTCCTCAGAATTTGGCTGTGGTATTTTTAAATTTTTATAAATCCAGTTACTGTCATGCAGACCCTTGTACAGCCGGATAAACAAACTCAGGGCACACTCAGCCACATCTTCATTAGCAACTCTGCAGGCAAATTCCCTGTCATTTTGAGACGTTTTGTATTCAAAGCGATTGCAGAAAGATTATTTCTAGATTCTACTGCCTGCTTTAAATCTCTGGTTTTGTCTTTATTATTGGTGCGGCCTATTACCGCTGGCCAATTGTGCAATAAAATTTGCAGCTTAAGTTTGGTGTCTGTTTCTGCACAATCGCAGCTGCTATCTCCCCAAACTCTGGGGAAAACACTCGTTCTCACAGTGTTCATGGATCAATATAATATACATCTGGCCTTGGTAAGTGGTTCAGGAAATCTGCGTCTGAGCTCTCACAGCCAAAACCATCTCAAGGAAGGGTTATGCTAAAGAAAATTAACAAAGTCACCCCCAGATTCAAAAGTCTGCTCTCTGCACAAGACCATACACTGGGGATCTGGGTGTGGCCAGTTGCTGAATGCACAGCAATTAGTTCTTACGTATCTTTGCCCCAATTATTAAGAGTCCACCAGAATAATAGATGATGAACAAGTAAGATTTCAGCTGAGGGACTTTATGTAGTGTCTTGGCTTGTTTTATGGCTTGCGTTTTATCTATCTGTAAGGCGATGCAGTATTCACCTTATGTTCTAAGGCTCAGAACTTGGAATTTACCTATCTTAAGACATGAAATTCTTGCAGAAATTCTCCTTAAAATGTTGGCCAACTTCCCAGTTGTAGTTTTCATTTGAATTAAGTCACCCCAAGACAAAGCTCCAACTATGATTGTGCGGTAGCAAGCTTCTCAGCACAGCTGGAGAAAAAGAGTTTCTGATTCTGCTCAGCATTCAGCAGCCCACCTTAGACATTTATGACTTTTTCCTCTTCTGCCATATAATGAGGGTGATAATTCATGTTCGACGTTCAACACACACTCAAGATAAAGTGCTGGGCTCTGGGATAGGTGATGAGAATTAAAAAAAAAAAAAAAGAAAAGAAAAGAAAGAAAAGAAAAGAAGGAAAAGAAGGAAGGAGGGTAGGTGGGCAGGCAGGCTCCCGCCTGGGGGAATCTAGTCCAGAAAGCATCATCTCTGCTGTAAGTAGGGTGGCTGGGGATAGGGCTGGAAGATATTCAAATAAAGCAAACACATTTTCATAAATTCTTTGAAATCCCAAGCGAAAGCTCGTGTAGATTTAAGAACTTGTATATAGGGGGAAATTCAAGCGATAGATTGTACTGTTCTCCACTTATATTAAAATAAGATACGGCTCTAGGATTCTGAATTTAACAGCTGTTGGCATATGTGTCTCTTGCCACACTCATAAAAGTTTTTAATGTGCAATAACATAACATATAGCTCATCCCTTGTATGGTTGAATGCATTATTCATAATTAACTAACTTTGTACCTTCTCCACATGTGGAAGAAGCAGCAATAGTTATCCATTTTTAGTTCCCAGGAAATAAGACTCTATTTATTTTTCATAGTGCCACTTACCTACCACCCTTTCTGCCAATGATTTGAATTGTTTCGCAGTAGCTCTTATTTATTGCAACGCATGCACAACATGGGGGATGATGCCTGTTCAAAGCAAATTAGCCTGAAAGTTTGTTGGAAAATACTGAGAAGTTAGGTGCATCCTGCTTCACTGCCGATGCATGGGGTGGGGGGGGGGGGACCAAAAGACCACACTGTACCTGAATGCTTTCTTCTGTAAAATGAAAATGATCACATTAAGGTGGATAAACCTGAAAAAGCACCGG